TAATTCTGATCATGCTCTGTAAATGATAAAATTGTTGGCATAGAAATAGTAGGAGCCGAGCAGGGCTTGTAAAACCACAAAGAATTAAATGGAGCCTAACTTACAGCCATGGAAAATATTAAAACTCCATGTGTAACTTCTCTTTTCTATTTTAACCTAAGATGTGGAGCCTGTGCCAGGCACTGTGGATGCTTGCACCCTTCCAACACACACAGTTCTGGGTAGCAAGTGTCATCCAATGCAGGCAGCTAGTCATTTATTTTTCTATCATTCTACAGGGTAGAAAATTAACAGTGTTATGTTTACAAACCTTCACTGAGCCCTTACATAAAAGCTCAGAAATGTTTGTATTCCACACAACTCCAGTTTGAAGAGGCTCAGAAGCAAGTTAATATAAACCTATCCTGGACAAATGTGCAGAAAGTAGCCCTGTTAGATGCAGGTTAACCTTTGACCTTCCCAACTTTTTCTGAGAATGTACAATCCATCACGTACCAAAACACAGCGGAGGTGTGAGGTGTTGGTAAGTACCCCTGTTAGTGAGAAATTCTGCTAATTATTACACCAAATAAGCATAGTTAACAGGCCATGGCCACAGAGGGGCATGTTTCAGGGCATTAAATAGCTGCATTGGGTGGAGAAGAATATATTACACTATGCCCATTACCAATAAAACAATTTCCCTGACACCCAGAAATCCAGTCAGCTGGAGCAAAGTAAGTGTTCTGGGGCTCGGCTGATGGAGAGCAGTGCTGCACCGCCACCTAGTGGCCGTTACATTTTAAAGTGCAGCATTCAAGGCAATTCGCTGTTTGGCTGGAATAAGGAAATGGGATAAAGAAGCCAAAAGAAATCACATTTGGAGGGGCTGGGTGTAGCTTAGTGATAGAAAGCAGGCTTAGAATGTATGAGAATCCCAATTTAAATCTTCTGCACTATAAAGAATGAGTGAATGGATGGATGATCACACCAAAAGCTCCTTAAACTGTTTGTTTTTGAAAGCACACATACATATTTTTTTCTTTCCTGTTTTTTCTACCTCAGCCTTCCTAAGTATGGATGTCTCAAAACAAGCTCCAAAATCAAAATAAAGGCCCAAAGTATTCAGCCATTTTCCAGACACATATTATATCCTGCCAAGAAGTTTCTAGCAGAAAGCCCCCTTCAAAATTAAATGTTCCATGGAAGGAGGGACATTAGCAGAGGAGAGCTTAGTTATGACTGAGTAGAGCTGATGGTTCAGATCCAACATACAAATATAAAAAGCAGCTCATCTGAAAGAATGTAAAAGGTTTTCTGAAGGAGGAAAACCTAGTTATCTACAGAGTTAGAACAATACAGGATTATGCAATCCTGGAGAACTACTTTTCTCACAGTTTCCAGGGTGCTGGCTCCTAACCTGGCACTGGGTAGATACTCATCAGATACACAACATCGATGTAGGCTATGCCTCAAAAACACTATGGATGTAGCAATGGCACTGGCGCCAGGACGATGCCCTTCTTTTTCCTGTCACAGTTTCACAAAAGAGAACGGGTCCACACAGCAAGGCCACTGCTTCCTGCACCCAGGAGGACAGACAAAAAACAAGCAGGAATGCAGGTGTGTAGCAGAGACTGGGAGGAAATACAGAGATAACTAAAGTAGGGCAGGGGGCCAGAGACTCCAGCAGTGAGGCAGAAGAGCTGTTCTCAGGGAAGCCGGCCCAAGTCTCCTGAGAATAGAGACCAGGAGAAAGCAGAGACGGCGGCGTGTGCAGACACTGAATGTGAGAGAAGCACAGGAGAGCACACTGAGACAGGGAGCGTTTGCCCCGTTGCAGGACCAGAGTGGATCAGGAGCAAGAGGAGCATGGAAAGAGACAAGTCAAAGAGGTGGTGAGGCGGGTGGATCAGAGAGAAAGCTAGGTCGGGGCACTTTTGAGTTACAATGCTCACATCATACAATTGACCCTTCCAAAGTGTACAAGTCAGATGGCACAGTCACAGGATAGTTCAGTCATCACCATTAATTTCAGACCATTTTCATTACCCCCTCCCACCCTTCCCCACCTTTCTCTCTCCTACTCTTGGCAACCGTTAACTACCTCCTATCTCCATGGGTTTGCCTGTCCTACACATGGAATCATGTAACATGTGGGCCTTTGTCACTGGCTTCTTTAACTTAGCTTATGGTCTCAAGGTTCACCCATCTAATTGTAGTATGTACCAGTGTTTCACTAGTTGGGATTGCCAAATAGCACTCCACTGTATGAATATGCCACATTTTTATCTAGTCGTCATTTAATTACACTTGGAGTTTCCCTTCTTTGGGGTTACTGTAAATGATGCTGCTGAGCTGATGCATCACTAAAGGGGCTTCTCAAACTACATCTCCCAAACAGCCATTTGGAAAAGCCTCACTCACTTAAAGAGACAGGAAGAAGTTAGGGAAAGAAAGCCACCATCCAAGAGGCAGTGAAAGAGTGAGAGCCAGGAATGTGACCACAGAGTAAGGGCTGGGGAGATGGCTCCATGGTTAAGTGCATCCGGGGGAACAGAGTTCAATTCCCAGAATCCACATCAATGCCAAGAGAGGATGGGTGCCCACATGTAATTCCAGCCTCAAAACTTGGGAGACAGGGATTCCCCCAGAACAAGCTGGCTAGCAAGACCAGAGCAGCTATATGGAGTTGATTGAGACACACTGACTCAATGAAGAGTAATCCAAAATCATCGCTGATGTCACTGATGTCAACCTCAGATCTCCACATGCATGATCACATACAAGTACATACACACACACACACACACACACACACACACACACACACACACACGGGAAAAGAACAGACACACAAGGTACCTTTCCTGCCTGGCACTGAATTCACAGATCACACACCTGTGTCATTAATGCAGTGTGATTCCTGTTCTTAGGTTTCACTGCCGCAAATATTTTATCAGAAAATAAAGGAATAAAAGGGAGGAATGTAAGGGAGAAAAACATCTAAAAGCTCAAAATGCAAAATGTGACCAAGGCCCACAAACAGGGCTGTTTGAGGCCTTTGTTAGCAAACCACATCCTGCCACTTCTGAAGGCCCAAATCACCAGCAGAATAAACAGATTAAATTGCGCCCACATTTCCCATTAACGCTTCCTTACAATTTAAGAATGTGAGCACATTTTTTTTTTTTATCATTTTACTTTAAAACTTACTTGGTCTTGAAAAAACCTTAATGATTTTCTCAGAAATTCCTAGGCATACTGGGAACTCTTCGAAATTTAAAAACCCAACTTAAAAATTATTTTCAAATACAGTCACATTTTTTTGCATAAAATCTATTTCATCTTTGGAAGCTGCTGTTAAGGTTAAATATTATTATAAACAGCCAATGGAACAATTATTCAATTGTGCAGCTTCAGTTTGGAGTCTGGAAACAATGTTGTTCTCCATTCTTCTAGATCTGAGGAACAGACTGAGGAGAGTAGGTCCTGTCCAGCTCTGGCCAGAGGTATGTGAACACAAGTGATGAGTACCACTTCCAGGCCTGGCTCAGAAAACACTCCTAAACATCCTAAACACATCCCTGGCTGTTCTCTTCCTCACACTGGCTTAGGTGGGGATAACCTGAGATGACTTTCTCAGCCTTGATGTGCCTGCCAGGGCTCCTAAGCTAACTTCCCCAGCTAATGGAATGCATGGAACCAAGTGTCCTACCACCTGGCTACATAAGCAAGAAATGGAAAGTCACATTCAAGACACCACATAGGATTTTGATAGTGTTTTTTTTTTGTTTGTTTGTTTGTTTTTTTACAACAGTAACCTTCCTGAACTAGTAACATAAATCAGGACTAGACACAGTTCCTAAAGTGTTTTATAGACACGTGGCCTGGATTAACATTTAGCAGTTTCCTCAAAAAAAAAAAAAAAAAAAACTTACACAATTGATAATTACTGCTAGAAACGACAACTAAAGACAGCACAAAGCTCTATTCTGGCCTTGGTATCTGGTATCAGTGCACTTTATGTGAAGTAAATATACCAATTCCAACAGCATCTCGCCCTCTCTCTCCTCTCTCTCTCTCTCTCTCTCTCTCTCTCTCTCTCTCTCTCTCTCTCTCCCACTTTCTTCCCTCTATTTTCCTTCCTCTTTCCCTCCCTCCCTCTAACACACACCCAAGAAGGCAAGATAAGTGGATATACTGCAACCCCACCTCCTCATGTTTGACATATGCATGTCCACAGCTAACATTAAAGAGAAGTTCAGTAACTCAGGACAGTTGTGATTTGCTCTGAATCCTGACTTCAAAAAGCCATCCACTGCATATGTGGGGAGGTGGATCCAAAGCAGTGAACAATGCACTTGCTTTCAGGGAAATGCAAATGTCTCTGAAAACAGCTAATATGTAAGTCTTTACTTTTCCAAAGTAGTGAGGATTAACTTTATTGTGGGTTAAATTAGCTGAACATCAAAAAAAAGACATCCAAAATAAACAGTCACATACTCCTGGTAGCCAGGGGTGATGAGACCAAATGCACACTTGAGAAGGAATCCAAGCGTGCTCATGAACATTTTCCTGATTTAAAGTAAACAAAGAAACAAGGCAAGTTTTGACATCGACAAGACATCTGAGATCATAAGCAGCAGCAGCCCCAAGTCTAGATCAAGTACATATTTCAAACAACTCTCAAATCACCCCTAAAATGACTGCTCACGAGCCTAATAGTGGCTATTTTTCTACTTACACTTAGCCTATCCATCGCTTTATCAACACACCAACTGGCTAGGCTACGAAGCACTCATCCTGTCTCCTCCCTCCAAAAGAGCCACAGCTCGAACCCAGCACACCCCCTCAAGGGCAGAACAGAGATGTAGGCAGGCACAGTTAGTGCTTCGATGTCAGGTGCTGTGCTAGGAACATTAGGTTGATCAGCTTTTAACTGTGAAAAGGTTTGAAACTTGTATTCTCTCTGGCAGTGAACAAAGAATGCAGGCAGATGTGCAAACAGCCAAACTCACGTGCGCTCCTTTTGAGAGTAACCATATGAAGGATGAAAGGATGTCAAGTACCTAGAGCATTTTAGAAAAGACATAAAATAAGCTCTGATGTTACAAGGTTGGAAGGAAATCCTGAATGCTAGCGGTATCCATCAGTCACTGAGTATCTACCTAAATAGCAGCCTGTGTGCCTGGGCCTGGGCTGGGTAATGGGGACGACATAAAAGGCAGCTGTAGCTAACATCACCTCATAGCAGTTAATAACTCCAAAGATCAGTTGAGCATTTACTGTGTCAAGCTCCTTGGCCTGTAGTAACTCGTGTGATGCCCACATCAACCTGTGAACAATCCAGCATGAACTACCAGACACAGGAGAACAGAAGAATCTTATTACAGTAGACAGGCAAAACTCTTTTTTACATAAAAATACTATTTTTAGATCATTTCTAGGGACTCTTTCTATACTTAGAAGAATGAACAATTTACTTCAATTGCTATTAAATTATCCCACATATCCTCAGAACCAGGTCTGTAAATGTTATGAAGCCTGACTTGAATGTTAAATGCTTCATGTCACAAAAACCACAAGTAAATTACTCTCCTTGATGGAAAATTAAAATTAAAGAGGCCCATGGGCTTAATAATGGCAGTGTTAAAAGAAGTACCTTCCCCTACTAAAAAAAAAAAAGTAATCTATAAAATAAGCCTTGCTCCAAAGAAACACTATAAGGAAGAAAAACAAAGGTCTTCAGCTAGATTACAGCATTAAGAGGTTTAAACAGTGGAAGAGTAGCTATGAAGCCTCCTGCTGCTGCAAACACAGATCCAAACAGTGCCAAAATCAGTCTCTACATTCACTAAGAACAAAAGAATTGGGTTCCCATCTTTAAGGTCAGATTAAGGTGACGGGCTGGATTAAGCCATCCATCAGGTAAAATAAATGCTCTGACCAGAGCCTAGACTAAACACTTCTAATAGTAAGGTCAGCACAGAGGCCTGGCCCAGTGGGGAGATGCCCTGTGGCTGCAGCTCAGAAGGCTGCCCTACAAATTCTCACTAGACGCTTAATCAATATGATGCCTTAGGACTCGAACTGCTACTATAAAATCAATATTACCTTTATTTTAAGTAGCAGGAGGAACAATAAGATTATCTTGTTGCTTACAAGTCTGTCATGGACAATCTGGCTCCTGGTGTATGTCATCTTTTGCTTTTGCCTGAAAGAAATGTGTTTGTTGAGCATGGAGAAAGCCTGGCAGTAGGGCCAGAGATAGGGGAAGGTGAAGGCACACACAATAGTTGAGGAAATCTAAGACCTCCAAGTTTGTTACAAGCCAAAGAACAATGGTCTGTAAGAAGATATCCCAAGGCTTTCAACCAACAGCTACATGCTGGACCTCCTGCCCTCATCTTCAGATTCCTGCTTCCTAATAGCCCCTTGGATGCCAAATGAGTATCAGACATGTATCTGTCCAAAGGACAGCCCTGTTCTTCCCCAGTCTTCTGATTTCCATAAATGGTTACAATCTAGTCACTAAAATCCTGATGCCTCTTCTGGTGCTTCTGGCCTCTCAAACCTCCTCATTCAGTCTCACAAGAAATCCTATCAACTTTGCCTCAAGATTAAATCCCAAGTCTCTCCCCTTCCATCCATCTCTGTAATCATGTTACATCCCTGGCCATCAGCACATCTATATATATATAATATTATATGTAACAAAGCAGATGGGTCACTGTGTACATGTCCTTCACCTTAAACCTTCCAGGGGTTTTCCACAGAGTTGGAATAGAAGCTAAATCTAAAGCACCCAGACTAAGGGTGCTTCTAAGATCTGTCTTTGACTCTTCCTCCTTAAATTCTGGCCACTGACCACCTTTGCCTCCTTTTTGAATAAACTTATCAACCCATGGATCCTTGTCCCTGCAGCTGGAACAACTGTTCTTATCATATTTGGGGTTTCACATCACTCTAACTAAAGCAACCCCACCCCTCCAATCATCTGTCACTTCATTACCTTTATAATGGTCACTGTTTCCTGGCTTGCATCCTCTAGCTTGGAGGATGCTAGCTTGGAGAAAAGAGGCTCCGATCTATATTGTTACCACAGAAACCCCCAAAACAGGACCACAGTGAGCACACACAGGCCTCTGCTAGAATTCTTACAAGGAAAAATACATGGGTAACACATGGAAATCTGGTATTGATATTAGTCATGCTGAACACACTAGCAAAGTGCTTCAGTCAGAGATAGAGGCTGAGCACAGAGAGACCTTTGGTTTTCTCCAAATTGGTTTAATCTTTTTAACATTCCAAAAGAGTAATATTTTCAGTAAGAGGTCAAGAAGAAATCAAGTCTCAGTTCTTTAGACACTCCCAACTTCAATGTTGTGAAGTTGGTGTTGACAGTGGAAGTTCAGATGGTGTCTCCCAGACACCATCACCAAATCTGCCCCCAAAGAGTAGATTAGGCTCATCTTGCCTGCACTCTCTCCATCACACACACAGCTCTTCTCATCTCCTCACAAGATTGTCCACAGTACTCAGAGTCTTTCTGGTTTACTGGCTCATCCCCTCCATCAATCAAGAACATCTAAGAGCTCCACCTCCTAGATAAAGCATGTTTGGCTCAAAGGAAAAGGAAAAAGAACAGGAAAAGGGCTAGGTAAGGGGCTAATGTCCATCCCACATTCAGCAAGGGCCTTGTATCTGCATATATCTGGGTGAGGCATTGGTACCCACCCACCTGGTAGGTACATGTTGGGTAGGGGGCTAACATCCACTCATATATTGCACATGGTGCTGAGTACTTAGAAGCTTTAACAGCCTGAGGGGTAAATTCAAATAAGCCCAATTTCTAGGTATGAGATTCAAGACATTGAAGAGATCAAACAGTGTCAGAGATGGGACTGCCATCCACATCATTCACACCCTAGAATCCCAGTTCTTTCCAAGATATCATCTTAGCAACAAAGGTAATGAAGACACAAATGACGTCCTGCTCTTACTGTTTAAATTTGATATATCCTGTCCCAGGTAGTTCTTTACCACATTTACTAAGGGGCCCCTACACTACAAACCACTTCTATATGCATTAAGTTTCTACAGAACAAATTCAAATTCCCTGCAAAATTCCCCTTTTTCTATTGTCCACTGGCAAAATATTCAGTTGCAAAGGACAGTAGCATTGAATTTTCTATCCTAGCATTACTACCTTACCTGAACAAATGTCAGAAGCTCTGTCAACTTGGTCAGTGTTATCAAAGGGCAAATAAACATAGTTTAGCATAACACATGTCAAACTTCCAGGTGTTCAGAGTGGGGTCCAAAGCCAAATGATCCTCAAAGGCTAATGGCTGGGGCCAATCTGAACCTCCTTATAAATACAAGACCAAAAAAAAAAAACAAACACAGAATCACTATGTTAAAATAAACCCTCTCATCTGTGAGCTTTTTAAATAAATCAAGAGTAAAGTTAAAATTTAATGAAGCAAATTTTTCTCTTGTCAATCTTTACTCACCTACAATAATTATTTTTAATAAGTCACATAACATCATGACATCTTAAGACTACAAAAAAATTTTACATTCAAAATATCAGACACGGGGCAAAAATAATTGGGCAAGCACATTTATTTTAGTCTTTTTACTTGAGGGGTAGACAGGAGCTTGGTTTGTAGACCATGCTGGCCTTGAACTCCTGCCTCCACCTCCAGAGTTGCTGGGGTCATAGATGCACCCAGATTTTTTTTCTATACTGGAAAACGTTAGAAATTATCTGATACATATCTTCTAGACCTTTCCAAGTAATCCAGTTATTTTTTTCATTGTTCTATTTTCTCATAGAACTTAATAAAGGTATTCATCACCAACCAATTTAAATAACATTCTGTGAAGAGATAAATTCACTTCATATTCTGTTTGAAAATAATACTGATCCACTTCTTTGCTATTCAACTCTGTTTTCACAGATAATAAGGTGATAACTTCTAAGTCCCATTAATGACACAATGATTAAGTTGAAACTTGGACCTTGTAACAGCAAGAAAAATCATTTCTGGTGCTCGTAGACTCTTTTTCAGGACCACACAGAACTCAGTCCTTAAGAAGATCACTGTCTACAGAGGGTTCTTTCCTTTTGTGATAGGAGCCTCAAACAACAAGCATCACCAAGTCAAGATTCTCTCCTCTCTTCTTCCATCCACCCTCCCTTCCTTCGTTTCTCTCTCAGTCTTTTTTTCTTACTCTTTCTGTTTTGCTTTTAAGATCACAGAGTGGTTATAGGTGTCAGGTTCAGCCCAAAACGATAAAACCCATACACTCTCCTCCCCGTTGGCATGCTCCAGGGGTGTAAATATTTCATGGTATCACCATCACTCACTCAGTGCTTACACTGTCTGATCCAGCCTCCACTCTGTCTGTTCAGTGCTCTGGAGGATAGCGCGTTCTCATGTCTACTGCTCAGTCACATAAAGCCCCGCTCCTCAAAGGTTCTTCAAAGTTCAATAATTCATTAAACACTGTGCTGGGTCGGTAAGTACGCACAGAATGCATAACTGTCGAATGTGTGGCGCTATTAAAGAATTTCTCTAATAAAATGGTGACTTTAGAGAAAACGACAGCATTGTTACTAATACAAGAGAACACACACTGAACAACTGAAGCTATGCTGTGCTAAGAGACAAGAGCTTAAAATAAGCAGAGGTGTCTGCTAAAAGGTAAGTCATTAAGCGAACCCACTATGAAACAGGCCATGTAGGAAGGTAAAATCACAACACCAGCCTGGGACCTATCCCTCAGAATTAGTAGTCAAGCTTCCACTGACACACATACACCCACAATCTCAATAAAATACTCCTGTAACTGAAGAAAAAAGTGACATGTTAAACTTAGAAATATTATCTCCAAAATAAAGTCATTGTCCTTACTTTCTCTTCTACTCTGAGTGACAGGCCAAAAAGATACTGAAAAGAATCACACAAAGCACACATAAAAACAAAGGATACAATGATGGGTGTATACTTGTCACCAAGTATCCACTGAACTCAGACCTATCAAGAGCCAAGGGGACACA